CAGCTATGAGACCAGCTGCATCCATCATATGGACGGATATACAGCACACCAGTCTATCCGGTTATCACGATGTCCCTCTCGAGTAACCTATGACCGGGATCATTTAGGATATGTGTTTAAAGGTGAATCGATCTCATTGTCGTGATCTCATCACGATCCGATTCTCATTGCACAAATCCAAGGACATCACAATATATGTATGCATTTATGCAATAGTTATAAAGTGATATACACCAAAATATAATAAGCAAAAAGATTCTGTATCAAGTCACACGTGCCATCACTCACGTGATTGGCTTGCTGGGCACTTATGACTAGCAGTACCACTTAGTGTCAGTGCTGCAGGCGATGGTACTGTCAATACCCTGAAAACCGAGGATGAGACACTTTTAAGCTCCAAGTTTGAATCCACTTGAGGCCTATAAATATCCCTCTCATCCGTGGTTAAAAAACATAAGAATTGAGAGCAAAAAAGGAAGAAAACATTATTATAATATTGTGAGAACTCCTCTCAAACTCTAAGTGTTGGTAAAGTTTAAGAGAGGAGGTAGTGGGGGTGTAAAGGTTCTCTCATGAGCTTATAAAAATGAGAATAAAGTTGTAAGAAGGTGATTAGTCTTTGCCTATTGAAGGAAGATCGCTAGTGAATGTCGGTGGTCTCGACGGAAGAGGAATTGATAGTGGATGTAGGTCACGATGACCAAACCAGTATAAAAATCTGATTTAAATTTACTTTAAGCTTTTCATTTTAATTACAAACTATCTTACTTGCTACACTCTTCCGTACGCTTTCAAGTTAAACTTACAAAATGATTTTATCGAATGAGATTTTTAAAACTGATATTTTTATCCACGGTACTAATTTACCCCCCCCCCCCCCCTCTTAGTGCCAACTCGATCCTAACAGTTGGTATTAAAGCCACATTTTTTCTCATTTGGTTTAATAATAAAGAAAAATAATTTTTTTTTGCTTTCAAGAGGGTCACTCTATCATTTGTCCTCCCATG